GGCAAGGGCAACATTAGATTCATTACACTAAGGGCTCAAAGGCCTAGAACACAATTTCTTGTCTGAAAAAAAAAAAATCATTGCTATCTCCTGCATTTCTGATAAATGAGAAATAGGTCAAATATGAAGAGCTGCATCCTGAAAATTGGAGTGAAAGAGGATCATGCTGCTGCTTTGCCTTCCTCATGGACAGGGCAAGGTACACGGACCTCAGGACTCTTGTTACACTGAGCAGGTTACACACAACAATTTAAAAAGAAACTCAATGATTAATACTTTGAATTTAATCTGTCAGATGACTGGTAGAAGATTTCAAAACAGCGATAGCTTTCACAATTTGAAAGTCACTAAAGCAAAACCGTGAGGAGACAATAAGGGAGCTGAAGGTGTCATTCCAAACCCAGACTTGATGTTATGCAGACATGAACTTACACAGAACCAAAAATCTATGTGCTGTCTTCATTCATCCTCCTTCTGTGAAAGGATTAATTTGAAAATTCTTCTGGAGAATAACAATGTGTGTAATGTTGTTAAAGAAAATGAATGTCTTAAAAAGATTCCTCCTGTACATGTGACAAATCGTCCAGCAGTCAAAGTTTGGAAATGGAAGCAATTCCTTAGAAATTAATTTTAACAGTTGAAAGCTATCTGGGGTAAAGTCTGAGGGTGAGGGGAATAAACTAAGATTATGCCTACAATAAAGCCCTTGCATGCACTGATATTTTGTACAGACACAGTATTACTCAGTATTGACAAGGCTCTGCTTTAAACTATTGTGTAAGATGCCATCAAGCTAAACTAACGGCATATTCCGGTTTGGCCAGTGTAACACCAATTATTTCCTCAGGTACAGTTACAATATCTGGCTACCATTTTTTCATATTTCTTGTAGAAATAGCTATGTTGGCAGGTGTTTGCTGTAAGCATAGCTTCAATTTACTTTACAGACTTTTCATGGAAAGTCTGCAGCACAGACTTCAACATGATGTAGAAGGGGAAGACACATCTTACTTCTCTATAGCCCAGATCTCTATGTTGGTCACATATGTTTGCGCTGGAGAAAGAAGTTTTATTTTTCTTATAGCTGCTGATGAAATAGCAGCAGCTTGGACAATGACATACAACTCAGCTGAGCATGCCCTGACACACCCAAGAAGAGGTCCCAAATCTATCACTGTGCTAACATGACTTGAAAAGGAAACATGGATGTTTTTTATAAAGTGCCTAAGCATCTCTCATAAATTTGCATAAAGGCAATAAGGAGCCTTTTATAGCAAATCATGCAAGAAATGGTGTTGTTAAAACTAACCAAACAGGAATAAAGTTCCCCTTGTGACTTCTGATTAGCAATGTAAGTGAACGATCGGATCCAGATTCTGCGCTATGGTGTATTTGCCTTGGCCTAGCAATTGCCCTTGAAATGAACTCTCTGCTAACAGAAAGCTTGTGCCACAGCAACTGTTCTGCCTACTGCTCTCTGTGATTAGGGATCGCAGTTAGGACAAATGAGAAATGAAGCAATGAGAAAAGGGAACTTAAACTCTGCTTCAGACCTACTTTTGAGCAGGCTTAGTTTAGCATTTTTTCATCCTATACAGTACATACTCCATAGCAATTCTGAAAACAGTATCATTTAAAAGTTAACATCTGCTTAGCTGGTAGCACCAGATAAAAGCTCTCATTTGTAATAAACAGGCGAATTTGTTATTGCTGCAGTCAATAGCTATTGACTTGGTAGCGCACTTCTGCTTATTACAATCAAATCCTTTTTCTTTTTTCGTTCAATAGTCAATGACACTGTAATGGAAGCTACTGCTTACAAACTGGTGCAATATATATCAGCAACTGCTAGAAGTTAATGACTAATGGTTATAAAGAGGAAAGCATGTGCTAAGAACTGCATCACACGTCTATTAATCAAAGTTACTGCATCCAATGTGCCTTTATAGGTTAGTGGAACTGTACTGCACATCAGATAAATAGTTTCTGCTGATATTAATCTAAGTTTTAACACAAAATGCCTTTTAATCATGCTATCATTACATAAATAATTTGGCTAGGACAAGGTCACAGAATCACAGAATCACAGAATGTTAGAGATTGGAAGGGACCTCGAAAGATCATCTAGTCCAATCCCCCTGCCGGAGCAGGACACCTAGATCAGATCACACAGGAACGCATCCAGGCGGGCTTTGAATGTCTCCAGAGAAGGAGACTCCACAACCTCTCTGGGCAGCCTGTTCCAGTGCTCTGTCACCCTCACTGTGAAGAAGTTTTTCCTCATATTCAAGTGGAACCTCCTATGTTCCAGCTTGAACCCATTGCCCCTTGTCCTATCACTAGATGTCACAGAGAAGAGCCTGGCTCCATCCTCCTGACACTCACCCTTCACGTATTTATAAACATTAATTAGGTCACCCCTCAGTCTCCTCTTTTCCAGGCTAAAGAGACCCAGCTCCCTCAGCCTTTCCTCATAAGGGAGATGCTCCATTCCCTTCATCATCTTTGTGGCTCTGTGCTGGACTCTCTCTAGCAGTTCTCTGTCCCTCTTGAACTGGGAGGCCCAGAACTGGACACAATATTCCAGATGCGGTCTCACCAGGGCAGAGTAGAGGGGGAGGAGAACCTCTCTTGACCTACTGACCACCCCCCTTCTGATACACCCCAGGATGCCACTGGCCTTCTTGGCCATGAGGGCACAGTGCTGGCTCATGGTCATCCTGCTGTCCAGGTCTGTCTGACTTTTACAGCACACCTTTTAGTTACAGGAAATTTCTGTCCCATGTTGGCTTGTTCATAGATTTTGGATTAGTGAAGTACAAGGCAATTGTTCTGCTCCCAGCTGAAGCCATGTTATTCTCTAAATACCACAGATGGGGCAGTATAAATGCAAGGCAACATCCTAAAGTCAAACTGGCAAAAGAGAAGTGTAGCAGAGTGCACATGTCCATTGCTCAGCCTGCCTCCTATCTTCTTCCTTGCAGCAGAGCAGTACTGCACAACTTTGTCCTTCACACTCTATACAGCTTGCACTTTCCATGCCTTGGGGTGAAATTTGTTGATCACTCATATATTTTTCTCATTCGATAATTATTCCTGTATTTGTTTTGGTTTTTTTTAAACCTGCCTGACCCCAAAATATTTTATTTCAAACTTTCTCTACTTATTTATATCTATGAGATGCATATTTTATAGGACAGTGTGACTATAACAGTAACACCTACTATTTTTATATTAGCTCTAAGGAAATATTCCAAAAAACAATAACAAAGTTAACTCCTCAGAGAAAAGTAGAACAGCTAATGATGACTTCTTGACTTACAGTTGTCTATAATCACAAGAACAAGAACAAATACTCTAATGTTGGAGCACTGATTTATGTGTTTGTTTTTGTTTTATTAATGCAATATTCATTTATCTCTAGACTGATGACGGGACATTACAGAAATAAAACTTATAAATGTGCCAAAGATTAAACAATCATGCCATTGCCAAGTACGTTATACTGTACTCTGGGTGCACCATCTAATTGGTTTAAAGAATGTTTGCAAATCACAGCCATTAGCCTTTTCAGAAATGAGACGTACACTAGTAGATCCACTACATGGTTCCTAGTCATACCTGTGATACTGGTTCATAAATTGCCCATGTTGCAATTGGAAGACTGGTGGAATTTAATTGCTGTTATACTGCTCATCATGAAGCAAGGAGCTAAATTAAATTAAGTTCCTATACATTTACATCTCTTGGCAAAGTTTTCCAATGCTGCTCAGCCAACGTTAACTCGTGATCTTGTTTGTTCTCAGCAGAGCAGTTACTAACAGAAGAGCAATGGAGGACATTAAGCTATATCTTTACAGAAGTCTGCAATATAATGGCATTTGTTAGTCTAGTAACCAAATATTCCTAAGTAATAATGAATTTATCCTTGCAATACTGTGTGGAAAAAAAATATGTGTCCTAATTTAGAACCACAGAGAGGCAGATTTGAACAAGGTCATCCCATAAACCTATTGAAACTCCATTCCAATGACATGAGATCAGGAGGTATACTTTCGTCTTTGTTCTAGCATGTTATGTTTTCCAAACACAGCTTTTGATATTGCAACAAGGTGAAAACAGGAAATATTAATAACATTTATTGTATTTACTGTGATAGTAGGAGGACATCATTGTTTTATACACTCAACACTTGATCTTTAAAAGAAAAATATAAAGTACAGCAAATAAGCAAACAACATGGCTTAGTTGGGGCAACGAGTAATTTTGAGAGGAGTATACCTTATGAGTTTTTTAATTCATTACTGCAAAAAGTTGGCATTAAAGAAATTACATGTATGTTAATAAGACTTTTACTTAACACTTAAAATTTAACTAGATATTTCAGCATTTCAGAAAAGCCCATAACCCTGCTAAAAATGCTACATTTCAGAGGCAAGGTATATCTCTTGACAGCTACAATAGGTGTAAGTAAGACATTTCACAGACTATTCTGGAATTTTAGTGAATCATTTGCAAGTGTACAATTAGTTGAAAAGAATTTACATTTTATTTCTTTAAAATAGGAAACTGATCTCTTCTGGTACCAAAATCAGTAAAACACAACCAAATAAAGAGTGAGTGCCTGTGGGAAAAGAAGACTATAGCTGCTACCTTAGACAATGATTTGACTTAGCTTTCAACTCAGCTACATTTCTGGTTTTCTCTACTGTATTCCACTTGCCTATAAGCAAACTCTACAGTGCTATTTCATGGGAACCTGTGAAGACTTTATTTGAATGAGGAGGATTTTTATTAAAAAATAAAAATAAAACATTTCTAATTAAAAATTTATAAGCTGTGCACTTCCTACTATGGTCTCAATCTCTGCAGTTTCTGCTGTACTTGATAATTTGTGTAAATTCAGAGAAATATTAAATATTGAATGTAGAAGCAATGCTTAATTATGACACTAAATGACATAGAATGGGAAAAAAACCCAACAAAAATTATTAACTTACTTTTTGTAACAACTCCTTCAAGGCGAATTATATTTGGGTGATCAAATTGTCCCATGATACTAGCCTCTCTGAGGAAATCTCTTCTCTGCCTGTCCATATAGCCGCCTTTTAGAGTTTTAATTGCTACAGGTATCTCTCTTTTTCCTGGTGTCTTCAGACGTCCACTGCATACTTCTCCAAACTCACCTTAAATAGACAAAGTATTTGTTAGATCATTCGCAGTGCCTGAAGAACTACAGTACAGTTTGTATTGCTGAACTTAAAGACCTTATTTTTCAAAATAACCTTCAATAGCTGTCTTTAAAGCTGTCTTTTTTAATAGTTCAGAGTCAATTGTAGTTGTCAGTGAAACGAGTGCAATAAACTCACACATCCTGTAGAAGTGGACAGAGAAATCATGGATGGGATAGTCAAGTTCCTGAGTTTCATCACATCCCAGAAAAGCAAAATATTCAGCATTACTTCACAACAAATATTCACCTTTCCTTTGTGGCACTCTGCGAGGTCATGGGGACATGTACTTTCACTACAACAGCCAAACTATCTGCCCTCCCCAATCTGGTTCATCTTGCTTTACTGACACTTTGAGACTGATATCAATATATTTGCGATATAACAGAGCATGCTATGAAGAAACACTGTAATGACACCTAGATTTTAATTCGAATGATGGCAAAATATCTGTCTAAAATATCTACTTATAACAATATCTATCTATAGAGGTGTCATGTACTAAGGTGGAGTCACCATCCCTGGAGGTGTTCAAGAAACGTGTAGATGTGGTGCTTAGGGACATGGTTTAGTGAGTTAGGTGGTGTTGGGTTGGACTTGATGATCCTTGAGGTCTTTTCCAACCTTAATGATTCTATGATTCTATGATTCTATGAAATGCCGTGAGGATATCAGAATACCTGATTATCCTCCAAGTGTAGAAAGCATTTAAAATATACATAACACCATTATGGCCATTAAAAGCACTTGCACATGTTTTATTTTAATGGACTTACACACCTACTTGAAATTAATTACATATTTCACTTTTCAGACAGCTAAAGGCCAACAGTTTCAGCAAACCAGGACTGAGTTGCATAACAAGAGGAATCTCAAGGCTTGCTTCACCTAATGTTTTCCTGTGTATGCAAGGGTCTTTGAAGAATGCGTGTCTCCTCGCATTCCCTTATACATTTACTAATTAAGTTTACATGGAAAACACAACTTTCCTTTGATCTTGAAGCCATTCAAAAGTTATTTAAAGCCTCTGTCAAATAGACTCTGGATGCCTGCAGGTCATAATTCAGTAAATGAAAAACAATGTTCACAAAAATATTTCAAAGCACTTCCCAGTGCAGGGTACCTCCAGAGCAAAACTGAATTCTCTATCCCAGTCATTTTGGAATCAGAACTGTTGAAAAACAAAACATGCATCATAAACACATTTAACTAGAGGAAATAATTTGTTACCCCTCCGTTGAGTGCTGTCTGAATTAGTTTTCCTTAAATTTTAAGGACAGAACAAAAGAAAACAAAGTAAGAGAGCTCTATCCTTTAACAGTGTGTCTTCAGATATGAACAGATTTTAGGAGAGGCCTTAAAGGCATAAGCTTCACTTCAGAAAATTATAACTCCCTGATGTTATAGGATTAGAATAGGATATTGTCATACAGCTTTTATTAGGTTCTGTTGCTTCCACTAAAACAAAACAAGGTTTTATTAGACAATAAGATCCAGGAAGAGTGAAGGGATTAAAAAAACAATTTCATAGCTTGTCTTTCACTTCAAAACAGAGACAACATAAAGTGCAAGAGTACAATTAACAGATGCTGAACATAACCTCTGAATAAATTAGCAGCTTCTTAAACAGCTAACAAAAGCCAAGTGTCCTAGGTCTTCTTTCTACCCCAAAAAAACCCCATTTGTTTTATTTCTACTTAGTGCTTAAAAACAAATCAAAGCATGTGCTTTCCTGAAGATGTGTGCATATGTGTGAAAATATATGTCATCAGACTAATGCTCTGGGGATCGTTTGACTAAAGGGGAAGTTGATTAGAGATATTCCTATATGATTTTGCCCCTTTAGCTCTTAGAAGGCTCTCCTTAAAAGTTTGTTTGCCTGACTACTGCCACTGAAAAAGCAGTAGCTAACGTGGACTTGTAAAGTCCTACCATAAAACAAAATCATGAAACCTGGATGTTTTGAATGAGACATGGTATATCAATCTTCTATTCTGTGATACATCCAGCAGTGCTAGAACCTACCTCTAAAACCAGGGTTTTATTGCATCTTACTGTTTTTTTCAAACTTAAATGCTTAAAATGAAAAAAAATTCCATTTTCTTTCTTTTGATGAAACAGTGAAAAGCAAAAATACTAGAGCGTTAATATACAGATTTTAAAAAAGATTTCATGATCAATAAATCTGCAGAACTGCAAAACCTCACTTTTGAGAATAATTTGGAAAGCATACAATAAATAATTTTGCTATTATAAGATTATACAAGAGCACTACAACTTCAGAATTTCAGAAATAATGGCATTCATACCTCAGGGATTACAAAGGGCTGTTCAGCAAGTGTTTTGAAATGAATTAAACTGAAGGAGGCAAGTGAAGGATTTACAATCCCAAGATTTACTATCTGTACAACATCATGTCTTCTCCCTCACCTGTTTCTTTTCCCTTTTTTGGATGCATGATTTGTACAGGTAGAAAGAAATTTCACTCCCCTTGGATACTGGGATTGATAAACTGGTGAAAATAAAAACTAACAGCAATTTTTTTGTGATGGGATGTCAAACAGGCAGTAAGTGATCATCAGCTCACAGAAGAGACAGTTATTACATTTAGAAACCTAAGGCATGTGCAATAACTTCTGGTTTAGACTAGATGGAGATCATTGATATAATTTCAAGCATTGAGCTATTATTATTTACTTTGAGAAAGAGTTTGAAAGGATTAAATCCCAGAGTATTTTTTTCTGCACTTTTGTTCAGATAAAGTATTTTGAATGTTTTTAAAGTCAAAGGGGAATGTATTCAACAAAAGCAATTTCTAAAATCTAACACTCTAAATCTCATTGCTCAAGTCTGAAGATAAATAAGACAAATGTTGACCCTGCAGCAGTAAAGGTTCATGACTGCACGTGTAACAAGTGGAAGCTAAGAGACAGATATCAATGAAGTCCTTGTTCCAGGGAAAAAGCTGGTGATAACTAGAGAAAAAGATAGAGTTCATTGTCTGTTCAGTTCTAATAAAGCACAAATAATCCCCAGTTTAATGATATAAACCCCACATGTTTTACTGTATGTTATACAAAGAGTGAACTGAGCAGTTCAGAAACTTACCCTGTGCAAACCACACAACTCTCTTCTCATTCAATCATAACATATGTGTTATTTAAAATGAAACAGGAATAGTCAGTAACACAAAAGTCTGATATGCAGTCTGCTACTACTACATGGGATCAAAACAAATGTCTTACAACACAGACGGTTGCTGTTGATAGAATTGAAAGGTCACAGCACCAGATACAGCTCAACCCATTTTCCCCAGTTTTAGTCATTAGACCTGTGGGAGAACTGGCAGAAGATTTAGATTATAAAAAGAATATAATGTACTCTCTGTGAAAAGTTGAAGAGTTGGCCTCTTCCTTGAGTTTCAACATTTTAACAAGGAAAATAAGAGAATAGTTGTAAATTTTAAGACAGACTTGACAAAGTACCTCTGGGAATTCCTTCTGTGAAGAGGTGCTGAAGCCTTAAACCAAAGAGCAAGAAGTGATGGGGGAGAAAAAAGTGTCATGAACAGGACAAAACCAAATGATATGATAACATGTCAGTAGGTGCAGCAAACTCAATATGAAGAGTGACTGAAAGGGACCATCTGAAGAAAATCCACAGCAATGAATAGACAGCAAATTGTGGGAACCAGCAAAAAGGCACACAGTGATCTTTGTAATGAACCAATGGGGGATCTCATGGAATATTTAATAGTAGTGACAAAAAAACTCAACCAAGATTTTTGAGTCCAAGAATATACAATATCAAATAAAAATAGTAAAACTTTGTCATAAGTACTGGATAAAATAAAAGGGAATGGACTAATCAATTTCACCATTTAAACAGCAACTATTGCTAGAATGTGAACTTGATCAATACCTGTTTATTTGGTTGATGGTACCATAAGAAACGTAAGCTAAGCACTTACAAATAGGTTCTGTTTTGCCTTTGGTATTGTAATCTGCTTGCTATTATGAATATTTGATCAAACTGCAATTTCAATTTTAGTTGAAAACGGTTTCCCCTACTGCCTTTACCCTCCAGTTTCAACCAAGATACCAGCAGAAGTTATTTGAGGACTAACAATAGAGACCATTGACAGCTGTTAATCTGGATAATCTTTCATTCAATCAAAAGGTCTACAAAACAGTATTTTTTTTTGTCAGATGAACCAGATGTAAGGTAAGAGATGATGGGAAGCCACTCAGGGGAAGTAACCTGACTATATATCCATCTTGAATCTGGATTTATATGCAGATATTGCTACTTCAATGCAGATCTCTCGTGTCATGGAGTAAGTAAAGCATGAATACTTTAGAAAGGACTTTGCAAAGTCTGTATTTTACTTGTTTTATTTGCACCACATCACCAGAATGAAGAAGAGTAATTCAGAGAGTTTGCAGATGTACTGGAACACCAAAAGCATGCCAGAAGGGAAGACTGGGAGAGCTAAGATCAAAGTTTCTATTAACTGGCTCCATGGAATATAGTGGCTACATTAAAAAACATCAGCTCAGTAAATGTCCACTAGGAGGATTTGAAAAGGGATTTTAACAACAGATTGCACTAAATAGTTTTTTCTCAAAGTAATCTTATGAGCTCAGCATCCTTTCTTAAGGAAATTGTTGCTGCTTTCCATTTCCTATTATTACCTGCCTAATGATATGGACTTGCAATAGGAATGTTTATTAATTCTCCAACTAAATGTATAGACATTCTCTTTTTATTTTGGCTATGATATCTTTGACTGTTGCAGGCCAAGTGTCATCTTGATCCTTTTAACTATAAACGGCTGTTTTCCAGTCTGCTGTTACTGCTTGACGTTCTTGCTACTTTTTCAATTTGATCAACTGTTGCCACTTTCTCTGAACCCATTTTTAGTATCTAACGGAAAATCATCATTATGTGGAGCAGTCAGTGGGCAAGCCACAATTCCAAATATTTGCTCTTTTTTTTTTTCACATCACGTAGTACTACCCTTATAGTACTAGCACTTGGCACCAAAGGAGCAGACCAAATTGTCAGTATAACATAGGTAATAAATGATTGCAGAGAAATCCCAATGTCTTGTGGAGCATTCAGAGGTACCTGTACAACTGAGAGTAAGTAGGTAAGTACACTCAGGGGCTCTTAGATTTTGCACTTCTAAACAGAGAGTGAAATACAGGACAAAAATAATAAATAGAAAGTCTTTGTTTTTCAAGTCTAGAGTGTATGTGTATCTGAGGTAAGTGAAGCGGTTAGGAGATTTTAACAGTGCTGTAATCAGAAATGAGATAATCAGCAGCTTTAATTGAATATACTATTCTGATTTGATGGTATCATCCTCAGATAGATTACTCAGCAGCAAATAATATAATGTACATTTCCAATTCACATAATCCAAGACTATAATTACAAAATACTTCAAAAGATAACTTGGATACAGGGTTAGGCAAGCTGAACAAAAAAGCTACAAAAATACTTGCCGTGAGTGTCAAAGCCATCTGCACTGCAACTAGTGAATTGTCAAGAGTTTTTGGACACAACTTTTTTAATTGGAAAACTAAATTGAAAACTGCTTTCAGGAAAAGATCAGTCTCCAATATTTCGTGACCAGAAATTCTAGGAAAAAAAAAAAATTAAATGCTTGCAATGGTCCACTTTGACATTTTCAAAATGAAAACTTTTAGTTCTTGAATGGAAATAATTTTTGTTTTGAAAAATTAAAGTTACAGGAATTAAAAATGAAAATCATTGATCAAAATGAAATGTTCAAACAAAATAAATTTAAGAAGTGCATCTATTAATTCACTTCTTAATAGATTTTAATATTTCATTTTGTAAAATAGTTTATTTTTTTGTTTCACTTAAGTGAGAATTGTAAACATCTTTTCAAAGTACTTATCCTATGACAAGAAATCAATTTTATATCCAGTTGCAAAGTTTAACACAGAATTAGAGAGAAGGCAAAAAGAAAGTTTTAAGACTGCTGTGAATTATAATGATATGTTATGTCCCCTAGCAGCTATCAAAGAACTCTGTCAGGATTTGTACTCTCTGTGCCTCAAGCATGGTATTTAACCTGCATCTTGCCTGCATGGAAATGGGTTTAAATTTCATTGCAACCAGTTTGCAAGCCCTGCTAGGCAAATATCTTTGAAGATGGCAGATTACCCATGTAATTTTAGAAGATAAAAAAATATAAAATAAAATATGTCAAAGCGGGCAAAAATTCTCTCTCGTGTACAACAAAAGGGAGAGAAGCTGAGTAAAGAATTTTCATAAATGTATTAAGTTGAGAATAAGGACACAATTTTCATCTGAAACAAAATCAATAAACTCAATCCTCGTCTGTTGTATTCGACTCCTTTGAAATCAGCAATTATACCAGAGCTGAATGTAGTTCAGTATGCTTTATAATCTAAGACATCAATATCTATAGTATGTCTAAAGAAACCAAAGAAATAAGAGAAATCAGGTAGAATGTTTTCTGCAGAAGTCGGCTGTCTGGGGGCTCTCTCAAGCTCATAGTTCCAATGGTGTGCAGTGCCAGATACATATTATCTAGCTTAAGCAACCAGGTTAAAGTACTCTAGCAATACGGCCTGCAGCATGAAACAGATTTTTCTCTTTCAGGTCAGTACTTTCTCTCCCCTGTTTGTTAACAGACCAGGTTTTATTTCTGTTATATTATTTGCATGACATTTTCTAGTGCATAAAACACTTTTTGGCAACACTGGAGACATCTCCATTGCTATCAGTGTACTAAGGTATCATTAAATGAGGGATCTCAACTGAAAAATACCTCTCCTTTCTTGAGTAAGGTGTATGAAACAAAGATAAAAGAGAAGGATCACTGTGCATTGTATCTTCTGACAGTACTTTTCCTGACAATACGTGCTAGTGCGAGTTCTTTGGTGGGGTCACTATGAGCAAATTTAAATATTTTTTTTTCACTGACCCCCTTCCACAAGAGGTAACTCTAATTTTTGCAGTCTGTTGTAGTGTGAATGATTTTGTTTTTTTTTCTTGATAGCATTAAAGTTAGAGAAAGTAAATATGGTAAAAAAAAATAATTTGTATGCTGGCATTTACTTAGTAAATAATAAACCAGTATTGTTAAAGAAAGCTCAGAATGGATAGCTCAAAGATGGGCACTGGAATATGGAACACACTGATTATTGCTACTGAAATAAAATTGCAGTGAAGACAAAACCTGTGTAGTCAGTATCATAAGTACCTTTAAGACAGCTGTTTACAAAACTCAGTCACTCTTAATATCTTAAGGACTCAGAAATATCCATATCGTGTAAATTGAATACAGGTGTTGTGTTAACGTCTTCTACAGGAAGAAATTAAATTTCAAAGCTGGAATTAGAGCTCAGGATTCTGTTCCTATGTTCATCAAAATTTCTTACACATACCCTTAGCTTTCCGACCTTCCCTTTCTGTTCGGGCTGAGAAATGATTGATGCTCCCCAGCCACTGACAGTGTGCGGATAAAAACACAAAAGATATAATGCACCGTGGGAACTTCAGACTCTCCTTGTCATGTTTTAATGTGTTATAACTGTGAGAAATGTTGGTAGGCCTTCTGAATGACATGTTGGTCACAAGCCATGCATTGATATCTACTAGTTAGGTAAGTTTGTAAGGCCCTTTTCTAGCCTTGTCTCTCTAAGTTCTCCGTAAACTACAACTGGTAAAACAGAGAGCAGACAATCTCAGGACCTGGGCAATAATGACAAGCTATCTGGCCTAGAGAATCAGAACACAAGTTACAAGAAATGGTCTGATCTTTTGAAGTGTTTCACTTTTGTTGTGTTAAGCACAAAGATATGTTTTCTGTCATCAATGAGCTGTCACCAGGACCTCTAATGAACTCTAGACAGCAGCCATGAGCCTTAATCCCTCCAAAGGCTTTCTAAAATGAATGCATGGGAACACTTGCACAGCACTTTCCTGAGTAGCAAAACCTGCCAATTAAACCAAAGCTAAGACAAGAGGATAACAATGCACAGAAGAGCTATGCCTATAAACATAGCACTTTAGCAAAGGGTAAGATCCCTAAAAATACCAGGAGCATGTTATCTCCCTTAAAAAAAGAAAAAAAGCCAATACACATACAGGATTAATGAGCTTCTGAAACTATTTTCAAACAGCTGTGAGATGGCCTACAACCCCAAGGAGATGTTCTCAACTGAAGGTAAACACCCGATAGATGAGAACTGTTAGCAGTTGTTAAGATGTAATTCCTCTCTGCCTCCACTGCACACTTGGACAAAGAGTGATGTAAGAGGAGAACCTGCAGCTATTTTTTCTATTTATCCTGCTTCCCAGCTCCATGTCACCTTTCATAATGTCTATACCTTCTCATCAGAGCTTCCTCTTTCTCCTCTCTGCCAATGATCTGTCTCTGCAGAAAAGCCTGTCCCAACCAGCCTCTGCTTTTCTCTGTTGTACTCATATTTTCTATTTAAGAACATTTTTTTGCTCAGCCTTCTATATTCTGATTTTATCTCCCCCCCCAGAAAGAGATTCTGATCTAATCTCCCCCCTCAGTGACAGAGAATATGTGACATTATGGCAAATGTTGAGTGATATAGTGTTTTGAGTACATTTGGAACAAACCAACCCTCCACTTCCCCCCCAAAAAACCCCAAACCAAAACAAAACCCAAATCCACCCCTACCCCCAAAATTGATAAAGCCTTAAAACAGGTTTGGGATAAACCTATCACTTTGGAGAATCTCCCTCTCAAGAACTCCTTATTTGAATATATCCACATCTGTAACATTAGCCAAATACAGTACCTCATGTATACTGCACTAGAGAGCGAACTGGTGCTATTAGAGAAATGTGCCCACATTTTGTACTGTACCTGACTGCTTGCATTATCATGGTGAATTGATAAACACAGCCTATCCATGCCTAGACATTTTTTAAAGTATGTGTACTTTTACCTGCCCCAATAACTCTCTCAATACGAATTCTTGAAGGATCGATCTCCTTTGCAAACTCATGGACAGCAAGAGACGGGTCTTCATATGTGTCTGGATCAATATATGTTTTGATTCCTGGGAAATGTACTAAAAAAAAAAAGAAAAAAAAAAAAAAGAGAATACTAGGAATTAAGCATTCTTTGACATTCATGCACTGTAACAATATGGTTTTATCTTTTTTTTTTTCTTTGTTTTTTTTTTTTTTTTGGTTGACTGGATTGAATTGAAAGGATCGGAAATAATATATTAAATATTCCACATTTAAATGTGGAACCCAACAGAAGAGTATAATGGCCCAGATTGCTAATGTTTTCTACTGATTTCACAGAAATCAACTGTGAAATGCACATGAGTTGTCCTCATATGCTGGCAGCACCAGAGCCTTCAAAGATTCACTGGGCACAGACTTAAGCATTTCCTCTTATCCTTCAAGTGGCTTTTTTAGCTGAGGTTTCTGAGACATTAAAGAGCTGGGTGTTACAACTCCATAGACAGAGGATAACCCTCTGCCAACCCAACACTAACAAAAGCATTCCAAAGTAGTGGTTGAAACTGAGAGCAAGATCCTGCTGGACCCTGCACAGACCTCCTGAGATGTTCTGGGTGACTGAATGGATACTTCTTCAGGATTGCGGCAGTGCACTGTTACATCAAACATCCTTTCAGCTTGCAATGGTAACTGATAAACAGTGTTAGTGTAAAGAATGGAGGAAATAAGAGTATCAGGTTCTCTGAATGTTATTTATACCTCTAGTTACTGACATGTTTCCTAGCTACACGGGTCCCAGAGTTTATCCCATCTCACAGGAACAAGAAGTCAAAGGCCTTTAGAGAACTCAGTCTTTAGTATTCAACTGATAAGACAGTGTCAAACTCTTATGCTGTTTTGCCTCTGTCCCAGCTGAACACAAGCATCTCCTGAGGTACAGCACTTCAGACAGGAATATTAAGAGGACAATAAAGTTTTTGGAAACTTCTTAGGAAAAAATAACAGCCCTATCTGAGTTTTAAGGAAAATGTTATTTTGGGTAAAATAAAGTACATTCTATTTTTTTTTTTTATTGTAAACATTTGCTTTCCAAATGCTATTTATTATTTTAGTCTGAAGAGACTCCTTGGAGTCTCTGCACTTAGCTCACATCCTTAAGGAATGATTCAAGTACAGCTGAAAATGGAAAATGCAGCAAGTCACAAGAGAAAATATGAGCTCTGAGCTGGTCATTTGAAAGGGTGTCTACAGAGACACCAAGTGAAGGCTCAAAGGTATGGAGAAAAGCTGATCCTGAAGACTAACAGTGATTACTGACAAAGCCGTTTATATTCCACTTTGCTGCTCCTTGAGAGATTTAGGCAATCTGTCATCTTCTTTGAGAACAGTGGTTTCTAATTCACTCCTTTCATTTATGGGAGGATGGCTGAACATTCCTTTTGCCAAAAAGGTCCAATCTTGGAGATTCTTTTTGCTGAGGATGGGTCCTGGAGGACCGTGCTGCTTTGTTCTCTTCTGATCAGCTTGAAAAACCAGAGATCCAGGTGCAAGAAGAAAAATATCCAAATCCATTTACAAGGCTTTGATGATTTCTGTTTGCTTCGTTGGAGATGGCCGTGGCAATAATGGGTTGGTGCCAGAGTGCTTTGGCAGGCTTCAGCAAGCCAACATTTTCTGGCATGGCTCATATCCCTTGTGTTCTTGAAGTATAGCATGTCCAAGAACCTATGTAGTTTCTCTTGGACTATCTGGATGGGAATTTTCTTAGGCTGTTGCCATGTGGTGATTAAGTTCTGGAAAACTTTCAAGTCATTAACACAAGTTGATGTAGATAATGCATAAGCTTATCAGGATAAGAGGAGGGTACTGCAGCTTGGTCCAGAGAACCTCTTTTAAAAGAATTAAGTACCTCTCAGCCTTCTTCCTCTTATCACTTAGTAGCTGAGTCTAAAGCAGCTGATTATGTGATGAGCCTAAATGCACTAAGTGAAGAACACATGTTCAGGACACATTAATGTGTCTGGGCTTCATTAAGTAGAGTGCAACAGCCATTTGGACCACCGCCGACAGAGTACACACACCATACAGAAATGGAGAGGACACCTGACATCATGGGATATCAATTATAAGCAAGATCACAGAGCCCTTTCTAACTCGCTTCGAAGAGTTTATTTCCTGAAATCTTCATCTAACTCATACCGAGCTCCTAAGGGAGAGAGGAAGGATGAACAGGAGATGGTTTTCTTCTGTACACAGCAGAAGTATACGATGTAAAGTGTGGACATGATAAATCTGGGAAAAGGAACAAGCGATACTAACAAGTGCAGGTTTTGCATCGGAGCTTTTTTTAAAACAGCTTCAGCCAGTCTAGGAGAGGTCACTGTTATACTGATCCTAGCAGAGACTGTCCAGCCCCACGTAGTTTCAAGTTGAGATGCTGGATGCCAGATCTATAGGTAGCCAGCAGTCCGATAAATATTGCTACTAGCATGAAGGAGGTACTTCTTATGGAGGTGCTGAGTGCTCAGTGTAAAGGAGGGAGTATTTTTGGCAATACAGTCTTAGCTGCTGGGGTAAATCACAGTAATTCCTTCGTATCCTTGGTTCTATGGAGCACATACATGAGTAGAGACTTGCCCCCTGAAGTCTGATGCCGAGATAACTGCAAACAAACGAGAAGCCTCTGAGATGAAGCTTTATGTCAACACGAAATCATCTACCCTGGCCTTAAAGACATTGTGTGAGGCTTTTCTCAAACTCAGTCACAGTCTCAGAGGCACACATCAAACTCTCCAGCAGGAAGGTTTTTGTCTTCTTTCCTTTCTGATTATGTTTGGAAACAAATGACAAACAAATCTTTCTAGGAAGTATCCTTTATGGGGAAATGTGCCCTTTTCCTTGACAGAAAGAGCCATTTGGCTGCATATGGTGGTGTCACCTGAAAAAAGATTTTACTTGTCTTCTCTGTTGATCATAGTATTTCCAGGGATGTTATAAAAAATGACAAATAAAAAATAATACCCTTTGTAAAATACCCTTAGAAAAATAAGAACTTGAATAGCTACTCTAACATAAAACAATGAGGTTAGTAAGTTGAACTAAGTAGCTAAACTAAACTAAGCAAACTAATATGCTGCCTACGAGAGATTACCAGGATGATCTCTCTGATTGCCAGGATGATCTCTCTGATTATTATACTGATCAATGAGCAGGAACATGAGGGAAGGCAACCCATTCCACTTTTTATTTCTTGGGTGTCTGGAAGTGTGGATGTCTAAAGCCGAAGAGAACTGGATACAAATAAGGCACATAGTCACCAAGAGTGGAATTTTGAGGTAGAAATTCAATATGGTCCAGTTCAGTTTAGAATTCAAAGAAATATACCTGAAAAACTGATAAATATTATTAATAGAATACCAAAATACCTTATTAACTAGAGTGAATGGAGTGAAATTATTCCAAAGGACATACAAATAAATATAAACACCTTTGGTGGTGCAGACAATAAAGAACGATTCAAATGGCCAGCTTAAAACATCAAGGGCAAAAGCTGTTCAGAAAACAACGAACACTTTTAATTTAAAATATGAAATAGACATTATGTAACACAGTGTTGAAGTACTTACAATGTCCATTTTGCAAATGAGCCCTTCTTTTCTCTTCAGATTTCATTTTGGCCTTTATGTACCACTGGCACCTTTTAAGAAAAACAAGTGAGGTTTTAATTAAAATACCTGTCACACATAAAATAAATGTGCATTGTTTTATCTGCACTTTTATGAAAGCCAAAATATTTGCATTTGGAATATATATTTAGTTATGAATCTAAAGAGAGAAATACACATGAAGTGCTACAAACAGATTAGATACAAATAAAAATAAATCATGGTTGAATAATTAGTATGAAAATGGCTATTTAAGTTCAAGTTTGATGCAATCTTTATTTCCAAGTTTGACACCTCTAAAGAATCCTGATACTTCAATAAATTCTTACTTCCCTGCATTCTTGTTTGCATACATTGGTGTATGCTAATTAAACTTTATCCTACTTTTATATCCAGTGGGTCAAAAAGCTCACGTTTTCTTAATAAAATGATATTTTCTATGACTTCACCATGTTTCATGAAAAAAGAAAGCATTTTTTCACATCAGGATCACTTTTTTTTTTTTTTTCCTAAGTAGACCTGTGCAGTCTGAGTCAGGCACTGTCTTTTTATTGCTTCTAAGACAGCAGCTGTCATACAGGACAAATAATATGTAGCCTGCTATATGAATATGGTGATTTAGCATATTCCTGCATGATTGCTATAAAATTGCAAATCCTTGGCAAACAACACAAAACTCTGGATGTTCATTATAGTTAGCAAACTCACCTAACAATGCAGGGGCATGTTGGAGAAAACTGCCACATGGCAAGCTTGCAGGTTCCCTGCAACGAAATCTCCCCGTGCCTGAATGCTGCCTACCTGCAGGACTGTTAATGCTGATTTAGAGGGACACAGGATGGGAGCAACTGTTTCAATCAAGAAAAGACAAAATATTTACTCTTGGTCTTAGAGCTCTTTCTCACTCACCAAACAGGCTACGAAGTACGATTTAGAGGAAAATCTTTTGGTCTAAGGGCTAGGCTAAGGGCTAAGGGCTGTTGGGCACTGACCCTAGTAGAGAACAGCAGTGCCTGTGGACACGTGCTTTGGTGTACAAACACTCAATTCCAAGAGCAGCTTGAAAACAATGACTGGCCACTGTGTGTTCATTACCAGCCTTATAAAGGAAAAGAAACTATAATTATAGATAGTGTATCCAGTAAAATACTAACAATGGAGATATGAGAAATATGTGAACATATTTACTTTGTTTCAATGGTTCATTTAAGCTACTGAAACAGAGTACAATCACTCACAAATTCATTCATTGCTACAGAGGTGACACCTGAAGGGCAGAAACTCCTGAAGCTATCATAATTGGCTGTGACTTGTAAGGCACTTGTTTTCCTGCTTATGTATTGGTATGGAGGGAAACATTAACCCATGGATTCTCAGCTTCTGTGGAAATCTCTTGATTGTACGCCAGTTGCTGGGACCAGTAAGCATGCCAGTGCTATTTTTAGGACCTGGACAACTGGTCTCCAGAGTGCCAGCTGCCAAGAGCTCTTACTCTTAAGGTGTCTCCCCAAGGGAACAGTCAAAAAAAAAAAAAAAAAAGGCTTAAACCCTGTCCAATCCTCCTAAGTGCATATGGCTCCAAATTTTGACTACAGAAGCCAGTGAGTAACCACCAACAGGGGAGACTTCCAGATCCAGCTTCCCATTCCCTATTATTGTTGGCCACAGAACAACTGGAGAGGCATAATTTCTGTAACAATAATAATAAATGACACTGAGCTTTAACACCACATTTCCCAGAATCTAGCCAAGACCCCTGTCTCACTGCATACCCTGTGCCTCGAAGTCACTGGTGCTTTCATTCTTCTTTCCGCAATTGACAGCTGCGCTTCCTGCTTGCTCTTGGTGGATAATCACTCAGCAAAGTGCAGAGGCAGGTGCTCATTTAACCTAGCCTCTCTACTATGAATAGACTCATCAGTAGCCCTGTGACTCGAGAGCTCATCAAATTGCTAATTCTGAATAGTGAAGCAGAGCACATCTGTAGGGTACCAATCCCATTTTTCATGCAGAAATTTGCCTCTAGTCCTAGAGTAAATTGAGTATTTATTCAAAATTTTCTTGCTCTGTCTTCTGCGGAATATGCTCTTATCACTACAGTTAAGCAGCACTTCAAAATGAATTCATAACTTACATAATTTAAATAGTCCCATTGAGTAAGATGTTAGAAAGCTGAGATAACATTAGCAAACTGGAGGAATAAACCCAGAAAGAAAAACATTTCTGCTTTTTTTTTTCATTCCTCAGTTTAGTGATTTTTTTTCTAAAAGAAGCATTTGAGTTACGTTTTAGGATTCCACATAAGGATTCCACACGATCATTTTCTCAGACAGTTTGTCTTTGAATAATTCCTCTCCCCTCTGAAAGAACCTACTGTTGTCAGTGTTTCTAGTAATTGCAGGAATATTTTCTTAGCTTCTAAGATTTATAGCAGCCTTCCAGTACAGGAGCCTACAGGAGAGATGGCGAGGGACTCTTGATCAGGGAGTGTAGTGATAGGACAAGGGGTAATGGGTATAAGCTGAAAGAGGGCAAATTTAGATTAGATACTAGGAATATTTTACTGTGAGGGTGCTGAGTCACTGGCACAGGTTGCCCAGAGAAGCTGTGGATGCCCCATCCCTGGAGGTGTTCAAGGCCAGGCTGGATGAGGCTTTGAGCAACCTGGTCTAGTGGAAGGATCAAAGTCCCTTCCAATGCAAACCATTCTATGATTCTATGTTTATTGAAGGTCACAATATGTTCCAATGTTAACTGCTCCCATTAACTTCAACAGAATGTTAGACTTAAATGGTATTATTATGTAGCCGAAAGAGCATTAATCCACCTAATGGTAGACACTGTAGTGCCATATTTGTTTGCTGGGGTACTGCAAAGAAAAACTGTCCTACACTGATAGGACTTCATTTTATTTTCAAATTTGAGGTAATGCTATACCAACAAACCAGAAACTTAATTACAAATCTGAACGTGTAGTACCATCTACTGACATGAGCCCTTTCTGTGATGACCATTATCACATTCAGAGGAATCAGTGCAACATCTCTTCTACAACTATAAACACAGGCTCTAAACCAGGACAGGAATAGTGCAGAATCCTATCCCAACTCTGGATTTTTTTCTGTCCCCAAGCCAGCTAAGAAGGAAACTCCACAGAGAATCCACGAAGGCTCTTCCACTGGCTGTTTTATACATCTGAATGAGGGAAAGGGAGAAAGGGTAGAGAGGGGCCAGAGCCCACATAATTCCCCCTACAAAGCCTGCTGGAGGAGTGATGAGCCTGGCTCCTCTGCTCATCCCTCTACAAAGTATCAGTCTGGTTTTAGGTTTTCTTGATCCATAGCAGCACTGCAGTGCTGCCGATGTCTCACAGAGGAGATGGGGACATAATGTCTGTGTCCTTTTAGATTTTTCTTTGCTTCCTCATGGAAGCAGGTGCAGTCCTGAAATCACACAGGAAACGCCCGAAGGCTTGGTGAAAAAGGCAACCAGGCACCATGGAAGCACTTACACCTGTGGGAATCTGAGCTCCAGCAAGGACTGATGTTCTGACCTCTATGTGCATTTTTTAGCATGTCCAATTAGAATTTGTGAGATCCCTTAAAACTTTCAGTGTGTAATTGAGCATGGCGTCCAGCCACTCAAAGCAAAATTCTTTCTCATCCAATTTGCATAACGTCCTTATTTGATCCTGATCAACACATCAACTGAAGGAAGGTGGACAATCAGCCCTGTACTAAAAGAACTGTAAGTATAAGAAACAGACTAGTTACAAAAAATAATCATTATCCAGATTGGTGAATTCCCCCGCTAATGCAACAGTACTGCTGTAATGTAGATTTAGTTGTGATATCGTCAATCCAATTAAAAAAAAAAAAATCCAAAAGGCAATAAAACAGGACCTTCAGGATGTTATTTTCTGTTTACCAGTGATATCACAGGCAGTAACATTATTCTAGTATTTTGTAGTAAAGTTTTCCTTAGTTTAATTTAATTTAATAATTCCTGTATTTTATCTTAATAGATGCAGAAATGTTCATATAAAATATATATGTAATTCAGTATGATTTTTCCTACAAATTTAATACACCAAAAGTAATAAAAAATTGTCCACTCAAGTGCCTTTAGCAAGCTACATTGCCAACCCCAAGATATCAAAAATCCTAAGGTTACACCCTCTGAAGCTTTGCAACTGACAGTTATGAGATTTTGTAAAAAATACTGGATTTTATTTTGTTTTTGTTTTGGTTTTTTGTCTTCTAACACCAGAGCCTTGAGGGCACAGGTACATTGTATTTTTAAATTCTCTCTCTGCAGACAAGAAGTCCAGAAACTTATTTTTAAAATAACCAAGCTATTTCCTGATTTCATATAATTGCTTAGCTCCCCAAACTGGGTTTTCATGAAAAACAACACTCACAATAGAACTGTAAGTATGAGCAGTGCTTAACAAAGAGAGCATTCACCTCGGTATGTCTAACCCTTATTTTAGGACGGAAAAGGTGGTTTAATGACTTAACTATTATTCTTAAATTCTCAGTATTGGATGATTCTAACCCTGAGTAAATGAGAACACTGTAAAGTTATTTACCTCCCAGTGATCAGGAAGAACAAAGTGAGGATGACCAGGAGAGTGAATCCACCAACAGCCGCAGTAGCAATTACAAGAATCTGCCCCTGCTCTGCAGCCATATCAGAAGCTGAAAGAGAAGCACAAAGAAAAGAGGTTAAAGCTCCATCACCAGGGTTCTTGCAGAATGGGTGATAACATTTCACTAATTAAATGTTGCAATTACTCTGTAATAGTTTCCTTGGTGCTTAGCAAGGATATCAGATGCGAATGGGCCTGTGAAGTGAAAAAACATAATCCATATCCTAACTATGATGAAGGGAAGAAGACGTTTACATGAGGAGGTGGCCTTAACAGATGCTCGCAATTTACTATAGTTTGAATACGACAGGATTTTGGCCACAAAACTAGAACATATTTTTTCTTTAGCTTTATTTAGCTTAAGCCTGCATCTAGTTCAGAACTTCTCTCCACCCAGCTATTCCAGTGAAGTCAGCAGCAGTGCTATGTATGTATAAGATATTAAACCAGGTTCAGGAGAAAGCAAAGCAGGAAAAGTAGATTTAATGTGTAGCCTCACACTCTCTTCTGTGTGTCTGGTGTTTAGTTTTAGTCACAAAATGTATACATCTTACCTATAATATGCTCTGGTGATTGTCAACACTGTAGTTGAAAAAAAAGTGTTTTCTTATGCCTCATGTTTTTTTCTCTGCTTTTTGCGGGACATTTAGGAGTTAAAAAAGATCACCTGAAATTATCTGGTCTCTAGAAACTTGCTCTTTTTATCAAGTTATTCTGCATAATATTAATTAATTAAATCTTTACATTGACAAAGTACTTACAGTCTAGTTGGTCCTCACTGTCCAAGTACTACATGAGCAGAAAAAGAATTAGGCTCAGTTTTTCTCTATCCCCTGTCTTGTGACTCCCAAGTTTTATTACTTAAACTCAGCTACAATTGAACATTATCACCATATGCCATTACCTAATGCTTACTGTTTCCATGAGAAACATAACATTGTTCTGAAAGGAGAAGAAATAATTCTATTAAATGACCTCTGACAACAGTAGTAAAAGTAGAAAAGAAAAATTTTAGATTTATCAGGAAAGCAACTTTGATTTTGTAAACTTGCAAACTGTTCTATATAAGCAAAATCTTCATATTTCTTTAGGTACCTGCTGATTAAAGTTTGGGGAAATTGCCTAGGCTGCTGTCTCGAATGCTCAGCAAGTGATATTCTCTCACTCTGCAGTTGATGAAGCCCAGTACAATGCACACATTGCTGCCCAAAGCCTCCTAAAATGCTGTTTCCAAGAAAAACATTTGGTTTCTAAATAATACTTGTGAGTGGTTTAGAAATTAGCAGCGTAAACTGTCTTTGTAATAGCAGTAAAACAAATAAAACCAATAGTAGTTTATGTCAAGTTTTCAGCAAAACCCACTTGTTAAATTTCTCACATTAGGTTTCTGTCCGTATAATTTAATGGAGATATGCACAGGCAGTAAATTACAAGGCATTCAGTGTCTGTGGTCATAAGCCCTCCACAGAGAAGTTAAATATATACATCTTCCAATAAATGATGTTGCAAATACTCACTGACTAGCTAATCTCCCAAACAGTACCTAGTGATATTATGGGAATGGATTCCAGCTCTGCATTGTGTTATGTTCCACAGGGTCAGATTTAGTTGGAAAAATACAACATAACAAATACCATGCCACACAAGTAGCAATGCAAATAATGACAGGCTCTCCAAATCAAAGGTTGAATACTATTTTCAGACTAGCAGGGGTTGTGCTAAATGTTGAAAGGGTTGTTACAGCCAGGCACAATTTGAAGTTGTAAACAGAGGAGGAGGATTTAAAAGAGTCTGTCTTGCCCATCTCTGCAATGGAAGTGAGAGGAACTGCAGCCGCCTTTTTTTTTTTTTTTTTTTTTTTTTTTTTAGTAGGAAAAAGGGGTGTGCAAAAATAGTGAATTCAGCAGAAGAGAAACAAACCATGGGCTCAGATAAATTGTCTGTGGTTTTCTTCAACAGACATTCATTGCCAAGGAGACAACCCAAGGCCTTTCTTTATGAGAATTAAAGGTGTAAATGTAGGGACTGATTCCATGGTCCAAAGAAGCACTCCGCAGCTATTGAGATGAAGAAAGTGACGTGTCCTGAATAATTTCTGCTTAAGGGAGCTCCAATTTCTTGGTGTTTCTCAGCTAAAACAGAATGCAGTCTGTCAGTTTAATAACATACTTTCTATCAGGAACCCGAGTCAAATTCATGAAGGGGAGAAATTCCAGACTGACTTAATTCTTTCTACCTCTAGGCAACATGATTTTTAGCCAAGACTGTATGTACTTAAAAAATGATAATTCTGTTTCTCTTATTTGTATTTTATTGTGTTCGCAGAGGTACCAGCGTCCAATATATTACAATATTTTTTTCCAAATAGCCAAATCACTGTAAGGGGCTTTCAAGCCTGAAAAGTCCTGATGACCTTAATTTACTTGTCAGATAAAAATGTCAAATGACAGACAAATATAATTGGAAAATGTGGATTTGTTAAAAACTGACAGAGAGGCAGGTAAGGTAGAATGATGGAAATACTTATTTTTGCTTGAAGTCATCCTTCTAGAAATCAATAAAGGCACAGTGCAGTGAACATCACATACACAAGCACATGTGTATGCGCATACACAGACTCCTCACATGCAGGTAAAAGGTTCCACAAACCACTATCTAGGCAGTGAGAAGATAGTAATCAGGGACACTCAATAATTAAAATGTTTACAGCATTTGACTATTCTAAATTAAATTCAGCATGTCCTTCAATCTCTCTGTTCTCTTCTCAATTCTCCAGCTTTCTCTTAAGGTAAAGTTCAAATTGTAAATAATAAGAGCTTTAACATGTACTGTTTCTGTTGTGCATGTTCTTGAATCTTTTTTGTTGTTTCCTGCTTTTTCTTCCTTCCTTTTTCCTCTCCATCAGCTGTGCATGTTGGTATTACCCTCTGTTTCTCCTCAGGAATATTCTTGACTATGCAAGACAGAAAAACTCAGTTTAAAAAAACAATTATGATACGTTGCAAAGCCAAGCAAGTTCCTGCAACCATATTTCATCTCTGTGTATACATATTAGACTGCTGCATTTAATCATGGAAGTACACAGCGCTTCTTTCCAGAATCTCATTTGTTAGACAACATGGCCAGCATTCATGTAGCTAAAATCAGTATTTTGTTACATTCACACTGTCCAATGCACGGTCTCATACCTGTGAGTATTTACCACCCAAATCTGTTCAGTGCACAGATGATTAGTAGCTCTGTGATCACAGGAATGAATGTGGCTGTATCATGTACTGCACTTGATAGCTACAGTTGACAGGCAAGGAGGTGAGGAAGTACTGGTGCAACAGGAACATGTAAGCCAGTAGCAGTGCTAAGAAAGAAAGCTTAGTCTAACTGAGCTGCCTGTTTGTCTGGTAGTATGTTTCATTCTCTCTGCCTGTCTGCTCAATAAGTGAATTTTGACAAAAAACATACTTTAAAAAATTGGTAGCATAAGACAAGGAAAAGGGTGGATTTATTACTTATCCCAGCAAATGAGTAGATAGTATACTATAATGTTTGGGTGTCAAAACTCTTCAAATGCATTGTAGCTGCAACTAATGTGATTAGTCAAAGTGCTGACTTGATTTTAAAACTGCAGCATGTATCATACATGTACGCAGAAATGTATTATCCAGATACCCTCTTCACTCCCATTAGCCTTCATGCTTAACTCAGGTCATATATCCGAAAAGACATTTAAAGCGTCTAATTGCATTGTTCCAGTTCCGTGCTTAACACCATGCCCAGAAGTCCCTTCTGCATCCAGCCTGGTGTCAGTTCTGTCCCCATCACCTACTCTTTACATCCACGCCCTGTCTCAGCTCCCCTCTGGGTTCTTCACCCAAATGTGTGGAGAAGAAGCTGCACTTTCCCTCCCCTCTGGGCTGAAGGGAAATATCCCAAGGCTTCTTCACTTCCTCACTGTCAGACTGGAAGAAATGGCAGAGACGTTTTAGTCACAGTGCAAGAGGATGAAAGACAGAGACAATCTTCCAGCTATGTTCCCTTTTCTTTTCTTTGAGCAAATTTCTCCAAAATCTTTTAAAAGTTTGTGTATTTGGTACAAAAGGGCTGGAAGCCCTAAAGACAGCTCACTTCTGTCTCTTAGCTGCATCCTCTAGTTATTCGAATTTGACACCTATCAGGCAGCAGACCTTCCAGCAGACTGAAAGATAAAAAAAGTGACAAAAAGACAGCTAGAGAGATAATAGTGAGTAGCTGTAAGATAGATAAGTGTGGACAGTGAGAACTGGAGCTCTAATAGACAGGAAGTGGCTGTCAGATGGATTTATAAGGCATTGTAAACAACAGTGTTTAAGTAAATAAGAAAGAAAAATACAGAGTCTAATTAGAGTAACCTTTACATTTTCAGAAGCGCTGCAGTTCTTGTGCTCCATTGAGCTGATGGGCTCCAGTCTAAGGGGGAATGCAGGAAAGAGAGGAGGCACTGGAAAAGCCATCTTAGGACTTAAAAGGGAAAAGTAATGCCATCACTAACATAAGAATTTAAAACTTTTTGGTATGTATTTGCTTGAAAAGTCTTCTTACAAGTATTGCCTCTAACATTAGCTTCCCGACCAGTGGATGAATGGAAAACCTGTGCAAGCAGTTTGAGATCTGGGCAAGGATGTTTTTCTTGTTTAGGAAGTGCAAAGGAAAAGTAAAATCTTAGGCTTCTGGGCACATACAGTAGAGAAATCAGATAGGTCAAAATTAAATTTGAAGAACAAATGGCTGAAAATATAAAAGTCAGTAAGGACATATTTCAAGATTAAAATGACACATTCTGAGGTATCCAAGCACTGACTACTACTAAATGAACAGTAGGACTAGGCAGACATGGGGAGAGATCCAGCAAGACAGTTTCTAAATATGAGACATGTGCCACCTCATTTGTTTGTTTCAACCAGAAATCTGATTTCCTATTGTCAAAACATCAAACATTCTAACAGAAAATAAAAAAATCTCCATTTTGCATTGGTAATTCAATGTATTTCTAAAAGTTCTAGGGACGGCTTCCCTGGCGTGGCATGAATCAGAGTATATGCTTGGAGCAATACTGAAGCTCTATCAGGATCAATGATTCAGGACGCCTCTCTTGAGCTTTGGAATGCTGGAAAGAATGAAGCTCAGAGTCTAAATCACATCTGGTGGCAAATCCAAAATAGCATGATTTGAGACTGAAAAGTTAAAGATAGATTTTGTGGATGTGGGAAGAGGAGGAAGAATGTGAGAATTCAGCACAATTACAAGAAAGTAATGATCTGTGCCTATGGTAACGAAATTAGAGTTATTGAATCATCAGGATCAGGATTTCAGGTCAATTAATTTTTCACAGTTCTCAAATTTATAAAATACCTAATCAGGTATTCTTATTAGCATTTCTGAAATTATTTTTTATTATTAATATGTTTAATTTGAAGCATTCAGAAGTCTACACTACTTTTAGATTAGAAATCATCATGCGCTTACATTTAGCACTCTGTTCAGTCTAAACACTAGCCCACACTGCACACATGCTAGTTTGCCCCTTAGGTCCCTTCTGGAACAAGCCAACTCCTTCCCTTTCAGATTTTTTCTTCCTAATGACAGGAAGGTTGACATGGAGAATATGGTTTTAGAACAAGCCCTGCACAAGAGAGCTACAGCATGAAAACACTGCATGGCCTAACAGCTGTAAATTGTTCAATATTTTACAAATTCCTCTAGGCACAAGGGCCTCTGAAGTGATATAGCAAAAATCATTCCTCCAGAAAAAAAGAATGCTTTGACTCATTAATTTAAAAAACCCCAAACCCAACCAAACAAAAAAACCACTCTTCTGTTACAAGCTAGTTAGAACAGAGAGAGGGAAAAATAGAGAGGGAGAGAGAAAACAGTTAGAGATTAAAGCAAGTCCATCTTGGGACAAAAGATTTTTTATTCTCAGATACATTGCATTCTATCCTAGGAAAGACCAGAGTTTTTTGCGGTGACTCATATAGTCAGTACTTCCGATATTAGAAAACAGGAACTATGAGTGAGGTTATGCTTCAGTTTACAGCCACAGCAGTGGTACATGTGTTTGAAAGCTGAGTGTATGAAACTCTGTCAGCTTTGCTGGAAGTGTTTTGCCTATAAGGTGCTAAAACAGGGAGACTGAATAAAATGGCAATAAGCAACATGGCCAAAAGCAGTAGTTACTATGCTCTGCAAAGTATTTCCCAGCAGCAGCTTCTTAGCTTTAACAGTGGAAGAAATACCCGACAACATCCATTCATCCATCCCTGGTTCCTTGAAGAGAATTTTTCTGGCTTTTCTAGGTAACTCCATTTCCTTTCAAAAAGAAAGTAAAAATTTTACTCTTTTAGATGTTCCATTTATTGGTCTCTGCAGCAGGGAGGAGAGTTCAACAACAACATGCTCCCCAGACAATGGCTGCCTCAGGCTGCTGGTCAGTAAGTCAGGGTGCTTCCCAAAAACCAGATCAGCATTGCATGATTAACTTTTTTCATTACTGCTACAGAGTTGGTCTTCTTTCTGCCTCATGCACCACCATTAATAATTATACCAAAATGTCTCAGTGTTCCTAGTAATGATGTATCTAATTTTATCCTATATAACAGAAGTGGCACAGATGGTGTTTCAACCAGTAAACTGGAGAAGGCATGACAGCACTGTCCTGCCAAGGGAAGTATGGTTTGGGACATTGATATACATGCCTCACAGTTGATGAACCACTACTTTTGTACAACTTGTCTATCACTTTAAAGAAAAATCCCAATTTTGGATTGATCACTTTACCATTATTTATTAACAAATTGTGTCGATATTCAAGCATGGTAAATGGAATAACCTTGGATGTTCACCTGCAACTTGTCCTGGAATTCTTCTCTAGATGTTAAGACTGTAACATGTGCAATTGGTAGAGAGTTGAAGGATGTTACAAGCTAATGCCAATTCAGGAGGATTTTTATCAAACACACGACTTGAAACATTTTTTGTAATTTTTATGAGATTGTTGGTTGGTAAATTTTCTGTTGACAACCGAGACTTTTAAACAACTCTATTCTTCCCTGCCTTTTCATGGAAATGTTAACTTTATATAAAATCAGTATAGCTTGCATTAATATAATTAAAATCTAGTTAACCGAAGGGCCAGAAAAAGTACTTGCAAATGTGGAATTTTCACCAAGTAACTTGTTTCTAATGGGTAGGGATGGAGGGAGCTGCAATAGTCTGCCTTGGTCTAATATTATTTGACAGCTTTCATAATAATTGAGAAGAATATATATTAAAAAATCAGAAAATTTTCAGTTGAGCAGCATACTGCCAGAGCAGTAAATGATGACAATAGATTCCTACACAGCTTGACTTGAACTGGTTTGTAAGATAGATGCATGCCAGCACTGGCGAATTAACATTTACATGTACTGATATAACTCTGCAGTCCAAGTCTCAACACAACTCTCCCCAATCCCTCCATCTAAATGTAGGTCAGCATCTTGTAATACAATGGTACTGACAAAAACATCACTATGTTCTAGTTATTCAGCTATGTAAGACAATGCTCTAGTTCAGGAAGCAAGTGCTTAGACCTATAAGTAAAAGAGAACTGAATTATAAGGAAGTAAGTGGTGTTAGGTCTGTTTACGGCATCGTAAACAGATTTATTTTTCCAGTTTAATTCATTATCAGGTTCAGCTCTGATGTTATACTTCAAAAAGGATGTTGAAATTTTGGAGAGCTACAAAACACTTCAATGTTTGGAAAAACTGGGTTTTTTTAGAGTGAGAGATTTATCTCTCTTATGGGTAAGACAAGAGAATTCTTAAAAATGGCATACACACATTTAGATGAGGAAGAGACTTCTGGCAGTATTTGGCTTTTTAATTTGGTAGAAAAGGGTCACAAGGTACAAGATAAATTAAAAAAATCAGGCTAGAAATAAGGTGCAAATTTTTAATTATGAGGCTAAGCACTGTCACTACCTATAAACATGGTGAGATCCTCTTTAAATCAAGACTTTGTATATAGTAGATGCCACATTTCAATCTATTGTCATTAGCTGTCTGAAAAAGTTACAGAGGTACAGACATTTGGCCTGTGTTATGAAAGGGGCACAAATCAATAATCATAATTATCTCATATTGCCTTAAAGTTTAGAATAGGCTAATTTTCAAAATACTGCTGTAAGGAAGTAAGAGATTTCAAGAGTAACAAGGCATCATTTGACTGGTCACTGAGTACTGCTTCAATTTGAAATAAGTAATATTCACCAGCAGGCACTATTCTGGATTTTTTTCCCTTTGAAATCTAAAGTAGTATTGTATAAATATTTGAACAAGACCAAAGTCCTTTGAACTACCCTTTTAATTAAACTGAAGTCTTTATCTAGCTCCAGGTACCACTTCAAACATTTCTCTTGAGCTCCATCTCAACTGATCATAAACAAAATGCTTCAGTATACTTTTCCTTTCAATCACACGATTCATATTTATAATAAATCAAATACATTTAGTCAGGCACAAGCTTAAGCAATAAATGTCGGTAAACAGCAAATATATAATGTGTATTTATGTTTCACTATCAAGATGCACACTGAGTGCTTAGAAGTAACAGAGGTAATAAACATTTAAGAGTGTTGTGAGGTCTAGCTCACCATGTAGCCCAAGAGCTCATTGTATTAGTACAACTGACAAGGAGACGTGGGGCTGGGAAGGAGTTGGTGGAATCTCGCTCTGAGATGTTTATAGAAACAGCAGTGCCAATGAGACAAATGTCACCGGAACCACAGTCTTCCTGATTCAGATGGTAAGTCACATTTGCACAAACATAAAAGGCTCGTAGAAGTTTAAATGCCATTTACTTTTGATAAGAGTTATGTCCCTGGGTGCCTAGAGCCTAGTATTTAGTGCATCAGAAGATGCAGACAAGATCTACTTAGAATTCTAGAAAGCACACAAGTGCTCAACTCCTATTCAAACAAATTGGCTTAAGTAACCAGAAAATTTTAAAAAGTCCAATTAGGCATTAAGCACTTGGAAATCTATCCTTAAAAGATTTTGAAACTGAAGTTAAGAAGCAATGGAAATGGAACACAAACCCATGGGTGCTCTTGAAACACTTATGTTGTTTTGAGTCTGCACTTTAGCTTAAGCAACTTGAATTCTAAAACACTAATGAAAAACATGATATACATAATTGGTTAATTAAAGTAGTTTCATTAATGAGTGTTTTAGTGTTGCACCTACTACACTAATTTTATCTCAAATGCTTGTAAATACCTTGTTTGTAGTTTCTTTGAAGATGGAGGGCAATACATGACTTAAATATAAAATTGTTCAGAGGATGAACATCATACATAGCATCAAGCCTTTTTGCATATTCTGTAGGAATAGGTAGGCTTTTTGTTTCTTACTGGCAAATTTACCAGGCTTATTGGTTGACAGAAATGCATATAAAAGTTTTCATTTTTTTATTTGTAGAGTCTGGGAGCACTAACAACCACGGAGAAAAGACCTCATCACTGTGTTCTGGGAGCTTGCATGAAGCTGCTGGACTTACATAGAGCCTGACAATGGGTATTTCTAGATGTCAAAAGGAAGGCTTTCTTTAAGCAAAGAAGGGATCATAGAATCATAGAATATCTCAAGTTGGAAGACACCCATAAAGAAATTTTGCAGAAGAAAATATTCCTTCAGCTGCAGCATTGGGCTAATTTTTTGTTGTTGTTGTTATAAATCCAGAAGTGTGAAGCTGAGGCTTGCTTGTTTTTTATGATATAGCAGTGGTCATTTTGTGATATGCAAATGGTATGGATTCAGCCATTCAAACTCCCAGTGTCTCACTGTTTTAGAATTAGATGCTACTTCTACTGTATTTGATTTGTTTCCTTCAGTTAAACTTACTTTCATCTCCAGTTTCAAATTCAAACTTCTGGCTATAGCCGCTGTATCCTGCTGCCGTCCTGACTCTGATATGAAATATATACTTGGTGGCTGGCTTGAGACCTGTGATGATAACACTTGGAGCCTTGGACCTTGTGGAGGAATAGCTGAGCTGCTCATGCTCCTGAGGGACAAAAGAGGGGAGAAATTATATCAAGTTGAGTTGTACAAACTTTGCAGAAATTATATAGCAGAACTGAAGCTCCATATTCTTCTCAAGAATGTAAAATGTGTTTATAAAAGGAAGTACAGGTACGGATTTTTGTACTCTGATTTTGTGATATAGTCATTATGTATGATATGGCCTTGACTTAGATTTCAACTTTCTGTCTTTAATCTTGCAAATAAACACATCACATCTTTGTCACTCGGGTTAGTAACTACACCATAGTCAAAACAATATAGAATTAGCAGAAGGCTACATTCACAGGAAATGGCAGCTAGAATGGTAGCGAATTATTTTTGCACAATGGACAAACTTGGAGGTCAGTAAATACTAGTAAGCTGTAAAGTAAAGATGTGGGAGTATTCAAATACCCGCTACTCACTTCTACCCGCAGGTAGTGCCAAAATGCCGGCGCTATCCGTGGGTAGACCTGTGGGTAAAAGAAAATAAAAATTAACTTTTTCTTTAAAGTTTGTAAACTTCTAGCATGGTTCAACAGCTACACTGCTGTTGAACTTAATTTCTCTTTCCATGTAGCTGTAATGTAGCTGGACATGAAATTCCCTTCCACACTCTATGAGGAGAAACACTGCCTGCAAAAGTCCCCTGTTAATCTCCTAGCAATTGATCCTGGGCCTCTGCTGAGAATTCCTGACTCTCACAGAGACCACTGAGAATTATGGTGTGCAGAGACCACTGGGAGTTACCACTGCAGACCAGCTGCTGCAGCGTGGAGACCAGCCACATCGATTGCTGTGCAAAAACCAAGTGCTGCTTTGCTAGACAGGTTGTTGACAATACTTTTACATGAGGGGTGACTCAGAAGAACAGAGAGTTTATTCCCTGTCATTACTTACTGTCACTTGATAAATCAGTAATCTCTGATATTTTATATGGTGCCTTAAGGCTGGCTTTACTTCATTGCAGCAGAATTTGTCTCCCAACTAGCATATGAGCAAAAATGTCCTTGGCACATGCTTAACAATCCAACTGTGATACCCATAGGACACCATATATATTTATTACACCACGCAGTAATATTCGAGTAAATCTAAGTTGTTCAAAGGGAGTTTCCAGCCTGTTAAAAGGAAACAATTTGGTTCACAGAAGAGATACAACCAGGAGAAGAATAAGTTTCAGTCAGATTCTGTTAGACTGTTAACCTCTTCTGAGGAACATACATACATTTTTTATATAAAACCAAGTTTTATATAAAGCATGCTGAGTCAACTTCAGTCATGGTGTAACAAAGTCACACTAGCATAAGGCAGCAGGTATATCAGTATTCCCTCAGTAAGCACACAAGGAGATGGCTAAGAAAACTAAATTGAAAATCAATGCACACACAAATATAATCTAATAATTCTGTTAAGTGAAGGAGGAGAAGGAAGGCAACAATGACCAATATCTAAAATAACTGCATGTAATGCTTACTTTAAACAGTGTAAATAATTTGAGAAACTATTAAGACGAAGCACTGATTTGTTCTACAGTCTATTACCAAATTTTGAAACGGCAAGAAGCATATATTTAAATAGAAATAGTAAAACACAGTGTACATGTAATCGTATGGATGGAGACTATGATTAATTTACTCCCTAACAGCTTCCACAAATATCAGATTTCTCACAATTATTTGAAATGTCATAACTTCACTTTGAACAGGTTAGTGGATTTTAGACTTACTTTTTTTTTTAGAAATTTCAGAAAACATCTATTTCTGACAGAGGGTCAACTAGTTAAAGTGATGGTATAATAGGTTAATACTCAGATAGGTAATGAAATAAAGAACTCCTCTGCATACAGAGGAGTTTTCATACTACTTTATGGACATTTCACAAACATTCAGTGTGTCATGAATAGCTAATTTCTATTCTATAGACTTGTTATATGTGCAACTTCCAGGGACTTCCATGTGCAGAGGGGTCATATAACTTAACATGTAACTTGGCCAAAGTACGCAAACTTGGAGAATACAAGACTTGAATTTATTTAGCAATGAAGCTGATGACTAAAGTATGTATATTTCTGCCCAAAAAGATCAGGTCTTTCAACACAGGCTACCAACTAGCTTGAAATCAATCTAAGAATTACAAAAAAAAAAAAAAAAAAAAAAAAAAAAAACCCCCAAACACTTTAAAAAAAAAAAAAAAAAAAAAAAAAAAAAAAAAAAAAAAAAAAAAAGAACCCACCTCATTTTGCACCATCCTAAGACAACACTGAATCGTAGTTATGGTCCAATGTCTGCGATTTTGCCTGTTAAACACAATATCAATACAAGGCTCTGTTTCTGCACTTCAGTCCAGGTGAAAACACGACATCCAGTGAAGGAAAGATTCTGGATATGTTCATTAAAGGTTATGTAAAAAGCAAATTCTTAAATTCTTGTTTTATGTAGGTAGTAGTATGCTTCAGTTCAGAGTTTTAGTGAGTACGAGATGCTCCATCATCATAGTCCAGACATAGGTGGGCAGAGACTTTACCCTCTGGAATGCTCTGGAAGTTTTTATTTAGGGTCTGCAACATGTAAGATAAGGAGGAGACCAGCACCTATGGGATTTCACTGTATGATGCAACAGTTGCAAGCCATTTTCTTTCCCCAGACTACCTTGCTGCTTGAAATCAAGTTCTAAGCATTTAACAATTCATAGTTTTTTTCTGACCTGTTGAAGAGATTAGAGAAATAATTTGATGGAATTGCAAAAAGGAAATAGGTTCCTTCAGAGAAGGATGGAAATGGAAATTTTGTCAAACATTGGAGACTCACCAAGATCCAAAGATAAGATTTACTCCTGGAAGCCTGCAGAACGAGGCCAGTGGCCACAAAGAGCTGGGAATGACTTCAGGAAAAAAACAATCTGAGCTATAACTGTTATATCTGTTATTACTGGCTAACTACTGCTTGTGTAATCGCATTTGGGATATAGCGGCTCCCTAAACAGGGATGTGAACAGACCGCTATCAAGTACAATTTATAATTTGTAGTTGGTCAAAGATAATGAGCAGGACAAGGACTCCGATGGTAACATTTAATCAACAAATGGGTCCCTCCATCTGTGTGGGCAGGCTGTGGCTAACAGGAACCTCCTGAGGGGCAGCCACCTCTGCCTGTCCCTTCTGGGCAGTGGAAGGTATTTTGGTCATCTCCAAGGGTTGTCTGGCTTGCTGTCCCCTCACCACCTGCCTGGGGTTGCCTGCATGAGGCCCTGAGGGGTCATATCTCTGTGCCTTCCCATCTCCTTTCTTTCTTTTCTGCAGCCTCTTATGCCATCCATCACACTGTCCAAAAAGCAACGTCTGGGAGTACACGACCATAAAAGTAATACTGCTGTCATATGGGAAAGGGGGTATGATTTGTAATTGCAAATAAAATAAGGGAAAGGGAACCTGTCACCTTGGTGTGTTTGAAGGGAAAAAACTTCAGAAGCCTGTACCTGAGGAGAAAGTTGCTCAAACTCAAGACAATATGATTAATAGCTGGAAACTTCACATTGTTTTATGTGAATGTTTCACACAAAGAAATCAGCTTTTTTGGACTGGATTCAACATCACAAACAATTCTCCAAAGAGTGGATGCTTTGCCATTACTTACTTCTCATGACAATGACAAGATCTGCAGCCTACCTGGAAAGCCAGAGCTTTCTACAGAGAGATGAAATTTGAGGTTCATGGGGGTGACTCTAAAGGTTGGCCACCCCTTCTGTCATGATCTTTCCCAGGAAGGCTAAAGATCATCTCAGAATAAAACAATACAATTCTAGTCTGCAGAGAAGTATAGGATGCTTTGTCTTATTCCTGCCAGAGATGATATGCACTTATTTTTGCATGGATTCTAGGCTCAAAAAGTGATTTTTAACCTGCAGGACCTAGATGTACTTCCTGGATGCTAGTGCATGCTTTTACCAGACCCTGATTTTATGTTGTGGCAAAATTTAGACATATATCACCCTCCTGCCACGCACCCTGTTTTCCATTGAAAGAGAGCATGTGGGCTAGAAGGAGCCACAGTACGCTCTGTGACAGATCTCTGACCTGAACTGTGACAGGACCAGATCAATGGGAAATGTCAAGGACTACATCTCTTCTGTATTTCTTGATAACTACAGAGGACTACCACAAAAATTGCAAAGTAGGAGTTTCACTGATATGGCTGTATTTCCCATGGCATTTGAGCAGTAAGTGAACTGTTGGCTGTTATATACAGCACAGAGTTCATATAAAAGGAGAAGTACAAGAAATGCTCTGATCCTTCACATTAGTATCACAGCAGCATTTGTGATCTTAAGATGGTATAGGACTCCTAAGAAGCAGTTCTGAGAACAGAGAGGCTGAGGATTTAAACGTAAATTAAAGGAGTCTATCTAATACAATATACTCATATAACCACTAGTCAGAATCTGACACGAGGAAATTCGTAAGACCTCTTCCATAGCGTATGGCAAATTTATCTTGGTGAAAATCTGTAATTAAAACATAAGTATAATTCAAATGACAAGTGATGCCAATATTTTTACACACTGAAGTATAGAGCCCATGACTAGCTATCCAAGTTAAACAGAATTATATTACAAACTTTGAAAATGCTATCTCTATTTCTAAGGAAATTGTATTTTTCTTGTTGTTTGTGTGATTCTTCTTGTCAGTGGATTCAGTTTTGATTATGAGAGACAGTGTTCACAAATCCGTGACAGTTTGGTCTGTGCATGAACATGAACACCTTTTACAACCAAACTCTTTCCTGCAGCCACCCCTGCGTGAGTATCTGAATTCGTATCTATCCTAATTTTATACTTGGCTTTATACTCAAGATATTTTCTCATATCTGAAGAAGCAGACTGACTGAATGGAAGTCACAATGGTGCTAATGATCTAAGACTAGACAAACTACTTTAATGGAGTAGCGCAATCAGAGTAGGAAAAAAAAAAATGAAAAGCTTTCTGCTTTTGCAATGCACCAGCATAGCTGGATCTGTCCCATCAACATAGAATCATAGAATCATAGAATGACCCGGGTTGGAAGGGACCTCAAGGATCATGTAGCTCCAACCCCCCTGCCTGGCAGGGCCACCAAACATACACATTTACTAGATCAGGTTGCCCAGGGCCCCGTCCAACCTGGCCTTGAACACCTCCAAGGACGGGGCATCCACAACCTCCCTGGGCAGCCTGTTCCAGGGCCTAACCACTCTCCTAGTAAAGAACTTCCCCCTAACATCCAACCTAAATCTTCCCTCCTTCAACTTGTATCCATTTCCCCTAGTCCTGCTATTGTCGGCCCTTTCAAAGAGTTTACTCCCCTCCTGGGTGTAGATTCCCTTCAGGTATTGAAAGGCTGCAATGAGGTCACCCCGCAGCCTTCTCTTCCCCAGGCTGAACAAGCCTAACTCCCTCAGCCTGTCCTCATAGGGGAGGTGCTCCAGCCCCCTGATC